AGTTTTCGGGGGTGCGTTGTTTCAGTGAGGATTAACTTCTAAACAGTCTTCGTGTTAGGGGGTTAAGTCGGTTTGAGATTTTGGTGTAGGGGCGACTGTCAAGTTCGGTTCCAGAATCCTATCGTTGACAATTTTGTTACAGCTGCTACGTCTGACAGAGGACATCTTGGAGCATCTCGTTCACGACGAGGCCGAACCGTACGGCCAGTCCGTTGGCAGAGTCTACCTCAAAAAGGTACAGTACTCAGGACCTCAACATAGTGGGCTCATTCTTCCGGCCTGTATTTTGACTATAAGTTCCATTTTGGACGTTGCGGCATTGTGTCTAATTCATTTAAAATCTACAACAGCAAAGTATTTGTTTTCTTGGACATTTCGTTCAGTCGACGACAGAAACAGATGGCCTTCCGATAAAACTATAATTTCATGTGTCCTACTCAAGCATAGTATTTCACACAATATAATTTTTAAACGTGAAAACTGCAAACTATACAATACAATTATGCTCCATTGAAATACATTATAGCCCGTGTTATATTTTGGAATATATTTTAAGGTCTGTGTAAGTAGTTTTCTGCTCCATATAGTATATATTTTGCGCTGTAAGATCTGGTAGGTCTACAGACTAAAACATTTACAACAGATACGAGTAATGGTCTATTTATATAGGAACGTAAAGATGACGACACGAGCCCTTGCCGATTTTTAAGAAAATATCATTCAACGTTTTTCAATGTAACTGTTTATATTGACTCCGAGCTCGTCCGTTCCACGAACGAGTCTCGCCCAACTTACGTCTCCAACGATATTTTTCCTAAACAGTTCCATTGAAATAATATTTTTTGAAAAATCGGCAAGGGCTCGTGTCGTGCTCGTGTCGTTATCTTTACGTTCCTGTATAAATAGACCTTTAATCGTGATGTGCTTGTAAAAGAGCGATTCCGTCAAGAAAGGTTGGAAATGAAGACTGTCTTTTCTTGGCATGGTGCGAGTTATAAGGGGCCCGTCCCTTCGTGATTTCTTCTGCAGATGCCAATTATGACTGCTGGTTACCGGCGTTACCTCTCAGGACTCAAAAGGGCTGACTGCCTCCTTGCGGCCAAGACTCGAAACCCTGACTTCATGCGCCTCATTGTCGAGCCCCCCGTGCCTCGGCGTCGTCCGGACCTCACTGCCTTCATCCACAAACCGCTCGAGGTAAGACCTGTGTCTCCTTCGCCTAAATGCCAGATGCGTGTGGAGGAAATTCGTTTCTGTCAGGGGCCTTGAAGGTTTGAAGCCTGAATTTCTCTTAGTTTCCTGCATAATCAATGTTTTTGGTATGAGCAGTAGACATTTTCCCGTGCATTCCTTTTATTTTCCATCCTGTTTTCATTTTTGTTTGTCTCATTTATTTTTCTTTCTCTCTTTTATCTCTTCGTTACTTATTTTTCTCTTTTATACTTTTTTCAAATTTTTCTAGCAGTCCCTTGAGTACTCTGCAGATATTCTATCGCCTACTGAACTTCATTTGTTCCCAATTTTGTGAGGTTAGGTTCCTTATTTGTAGGAGGAATACTGTGGAACAAATTTTACAAGCAAAATTTTTTTTAAAAAAATAACAACCTTTAAGATTCTTTCCGTAAAATTTTCGTGTTTAATTTCCGTTTTCATGTTAAGCCATTTCTGCTTGTTGAAGGGAATCTTGCATTGGTCACAGCACATGCGATATTTTATGGTACATGTAAATTTCCGTTTTAGGTTAGGTTTACCTTATTTATTCGCCTGTCTAATTGCTCCATTTGAGTTGCAGCAGTTTTCAGCAAACCGAATGTCCTATATTTACCTAAAACTGGCGTTTCGTAGCATAAATGTATGAATAAACAAGTCCTCCTCACTAACATAAATGTAAAACATTACGCTACCGTTCTCATGCTCTGATATGCCACGTCAATTTACACACGTGTGCGTTTTTGTGAATAGGGCATTATAGAACCTAAGGTAGAATTATGAATAAAATGCACTAAAAGGAACGACGTGGGAGTACAAGAGGCGATAAGACACAATATAACACGAAATAATACAACGCTTTGTACAATGACGTCATCCGATAAGACGTATTTTCGATATCCGCTGGCTGATTCGAGATGTGAATAACTGACAGCGCCATTTTCAAACAACCGTTGTTTTCCGGTGACATTTATCGATAGAAGAAATCGCTGAAAGTCGAACAATGTTACAAAAATCATGCTAACTTTCCCTTTTTAAGCTACCATTTTTTATTTTAGTAACATTTTATTGTTAACTTCAATCCCACTGTCAGGTCTTTACATAATCTTTGTTGCTGTTAATATTTCTAGTATTTTTTATATTATACTGTTTTACCATACCATAGTAGGGAACTAAGAATGAAAGTTACTCTATTATATGTAAATATATTCTTATGTATCTGAATTAATTAATTAAGTTTCAGATAGAATACAACAAACGATAAGTTAAATTTTTAATTATATAAACATGACATTGTCAGTTAACATAACAATATTAAAAGAAACTACTGACCACATAATTTAACATTTTTACCAACATAAACTATGCTATTCAAAGGCGTAATCTGGAGGGACGATGGTCAATACTTATGTTTTCAGCTGGTTAACAATATTGCATTTCCGCATGACCTGACTTCCAGACCAGAATTCGCCACTGTCACTTTCTAGTAAATTATAATTTACCGTCTAATCATTCTCTTATTCGACATTAAGAAACATATTCAGTTGCTATGGTGGTGTTAAATAATCCACTTAGAATCCGATATATTGGCATGAGATATGAATTCAATCTGCATCTTTTTAAGATCTCCATTTTGTAAATTTCATCACTTAATAAACACATCCGGATGAAATATAAAGACAATAATTACGTAAACTGAAATCTTGCGCAATGCGCCATATTGTAATGTCAGTGTGCATCTTTGCCATCTGACAGCGAAACCCTGTGACTTCACTAGTTTCGCTGCTATAAGGGAAAACACGCCTTGTAAATTGTTTCCGTAATATCATGTAACAAATCATTTATGGGCACTTAAGTTCTCCGAGTAAACTTAACTTTGAACCGGATTTCTTATTGTTGTTACAGCATTACCGAGACGTGCTGAAACTCCTGCAGACAATTCTAAACTACACAAAAGTAAAGGATGAAGACTATTCTGCCTTACTTCGGGTGGTACAAGAATTGCAGGTTGGTGAAAACTTTCACATGACTCGTAAATTTAAAAAAAGAATTTCTGGGGTGTAAAATTCTTATCACATCATTTCTTTACATCCATCCTGTGGCAGTAATTCATGTTCTGAGCAAATTCTCAGCTATGCAGCCGTGTAAAATTCAAGGCATAATCGCACAAAGCGATCTCTTTAGGATTTAAAAGACTTTACATCATGCAGCTCAACATTGTTAAATAATATCATAACTTTCATTTTTAGAACGTGATGTAACAATATGTATCGACAATCCAGTGCACCTGTCTTATAGCTCACAAATGTTGGTGTGTCATTTAAGAGTTTACAGTGCCCTATTACTATTTACGTTGTTTGAGATGCTTATGCCAATATTTATCACCCATAGACTTGATCATTTGATACGTATCACCGGGACTGTCAACCTAATATCAGTTTTCGAGGTACAGAAAACATCATCATTGGGATTCGAACCTAGGAGCTATCCTATCTGAGGTTTTCATGATTTTCTTAAACCTTTTCAGGGACAGAACGCTGAAATAGGCAAAGCGCTGGGGTCATGACAGTTGTCAGACGTAATAAATACTGTTTTATGATCAGTAATTCAGTCCATAACATTGTTGCCATGTCAGCACAAATGCGGGAATAGAATTCACGTTCTCTCTGTTCGTAATTTTGCAGACGACGTATCGCGAGGCCACGATGGGATCAGGATTGATGGAACCCGAGGGCGAGGGTCGACCATTATTGTCGCTTCAGGACCTTGAAAGTCGTCTTGTCTTCACGCGCTGTAAAGTGAGTGTTGAGCATTTAATAACAATATAGAAAAATATTTCTGTATCTTTAGGCCTTACACTCATATAACATGAATGCGCCATTTTAGCTCTTTATTATAATGAGAGTATATGATGAACACGCTGGGCTTGTAATCCTGGGGTCCCGGGTTCGATTCCCGGTGGTGCCCGGATTTATAACTTGTGTTGGGCAAGGTCGTGGTCCAGGTATCACGGAGTTATCCTCCGGGGCTTCCCCGGTTTCTCCGTGGCATCCCAACAATTACTCCATTCACACACAGAAGAAGGCAATGGCAAACCACTTCTGGATCATCTGCCAAGAACGTATATGAACAGGTCCCAATCCGAGAAAAGGATGGAAGGATCCTGTTCATACGGACCTGTCGGCCGTGGTCTAGGCAACACGGAGTTTTCCTCCGTGGCATCCCAACAATTACTCCATTCACACACACAGAAGAAAGCAATGGCAAACCACTTCTGTATCACCTGCCTAAAAAACATATATGAACAGGTCCCTGTCAGAGGGAACTTGTTCATAATGTCACCAGGGGTCGGCTCCGACCCGATGTTATATAAAAAAGAAAATGATGAACACCAGTTCACCAGAAACTATTCATACAGACCTAATATATCGCCAAGGCATTCTGCTCATATTGTACGTAACGTCGCACAGCCATCGAACGTGTGTCGATAGTTTAAGCTGTCTACTTTAGATTAGAAGGGCGCTTCGAGCTTCGCCGCCTACTCAAGATAGAGATGTGTGGTATGTATCTGTGGGTATGTATGCAGCCGTTCGTGCTGAGCTCGCCCGGTCGGCAGTGGATATTTGGCGGAGACCTGAGCCGTGTGGAAGGTCGCTCTGTTAGGCCGTTCTGGGCTCTGCTCTTCACCGACCTGATAGTGTTCGCCAAGGTGAGCCGTGACCGGGTTCTCTTCATCACCGAGGAGCCATTGTCGCTACTGTCCGTCACGCAAGCCTTCTTCAACATTCGCAAGAAAGGTATGTCCGTTGCTTTGGCTTATATCCACAGCCATACAGTATATTCCCTAAAGTCGATTTAGTATTATACTTCCACCAACTCTAATTCATCAAAAATAGATCCCAGTTAAATTTATTTCTACCTCCATTCTAGTTCTTGTACTTAACACCAGGTGATGAACATATTCTTTTATTTCCTATGTTCTTTATTCTCTCTTATATCATCATTCTCCTTTCACATACTTTTGATCTCTCGGGATCACTAAATTCTTGGACTATGTACATCGTCTGTGTTTTTAAAATAACACTACATTTCGGAAGCTGCATCTGCTAACCTCAATCACTGATTAGTGATTGAGGTTATCTTTTTCTATCGGACCCTATTGTGTAGGTGCCCCTCTCTCCGTTTTTATCTTGAGGACGGAAGCAAATCCAGCTTAAGAAACATGGTGTTATTTTTAAGCCTTGTATCGACTGCGCGCGGCTGCCTCGCGCACCTGTTCGTGCGCGGCAAACTCGTTCGTTCGCTCATTGTGCTCGTGGTTACCAGCATCGAGCGCGGCAACCGTGTTCGGCTGTGATCGACGCTGTTCGTCAGTTCTCGCAAGATCACCATGAATACAGCACAGTGAAATCCCTTTGCCGCGGGACAAAGAACCGCTCAGATTTGGCGCGACGCGCGCCAAGTTCGAGCGCGGCATTGTTCGTTCTGCCACGCGTGGCAACATGGTATCGACTACACTTCTCATTCTCCATGTTGCTACAACGGAACGCCACAAGACTGTCTCAACTAAAAGGGCACAGCACAGTGAAATCCCTTTGCCGCGGGACAAAGAACCGCTCAGATTTGGCTCGACGCGAGCCAAGTTCGAGCGCGGCAGTGTTCGTTCTGCCACGCGTGGCAACATGGTATCGACTTTGCGAGGCAAAGCAACGAACATTGCCTCGCGAGGCAGCCGCGCGCAGTCGATACAAGGCTTTAAAAACACAGACGTTGGACCTAGTCAAAAAATTTAGTGATCCTGATTGTAACACACCATTATCAGTGCCCTTTAAAATTGACTTTTTATCTCTGTTTATCCTTCTGACGGAGAAACTAGTTTCATGCCAACACAAAACTATTACTCTGATGTCAGAAAGCGAAAATATTTGCCCATGTTTCATTCCCATAGCTCAGTGAACATATTCAGACAATGCATGAAGTTCCCACTAAGGAATGTAGTCCCTTTCTTTCTATACCACAGTATTCCGTCTGCAAGATTTACTGACATGGAAGTGGTGTCTTAGAATATTATTCACATTTGGTCGCAGGTCTATTAGTATTGGCCTAATGAGGTGTTATGAAAATTTAGAATAATTATTAGATTATAGATATTTAAGCAAAACTTCTGTGATAAGTATGCTAAACTCCTGCAGCTGAAATGTTAGTCCTGCTTTGGTATGTAGGAGAAAGTGTCGGTTTACCTCGGGACATTAGCTATTGCTCTGACATCTATGAACAGGGATGTAAAATATTACTACCTAAATTAACATTTGTCCACCATGAGCAGAATGTGTTCGTGTCTTTGCTTGGTGTGAGGTTATGTACTGTTTACAGTTTAATGAGAGTTGTGACTATTAAAGTTTTTTTTAAAGAAGTTTTTTACGCGTTTTTGTATGAGTGTTTTCATACCCTGTGTACAGTTAATTAAATTTACTCTTATAGTAACCATCTGTAGAATTCCATCCCAAGGTACAGCAGGGGGTGGCCCGAGGTACAACCACATGTTATACCTTGGGTCACTTTACCTTTTGCCTTTTAAATGGTATTGGTAAACTTATAAGTAAGAAATATTAAAGTAAAAAAGATATGTCATTCGCCAAATACCTGTGTAATAGTGTGTAGCGTTAAAAAATTTGATACAAATAATCTTGTTCACACAAAAAAGTAATAACCAAAAATAGACCTGAGGTACAACACTTTCCCCTAATTATATATTTTTAATATAAATGATATATACTTTGCATTATATATATATATTAAGAATGCTATGAAAATGAAATGATTATTCTTAATATCACAATTACTTTTCCAGGTAGTCTGTTGTTAATGTCAATTTTACAGTGGTCTTAAGGCCTTCTTAATTCTCCAAATTTGTAAAAGTATTACCACTTTTACTTGGTACTCTTCACCAACATGAATGATAATGTAAGAAATAATTTATTCCTGCTACTTACAGAATCAATTTCAAATGTAGGACTTAGCATTATCACTAGTTGTCCTTCTTGCTTACTGTTATCCTGTCATTAGTGCTAGTAATGTTAATAATCACATGCATTCTGCATACCTTCCTGTTTTACTCCGTAAAGGCAAAATCACCATAAGTGGAAACTCAAAGAGGAGTCAGATTTATAAGCTATCTTACTTCCTTTCCATGTTCTCAGACACTTGTGGTGTCCTCTTACAGCCAACGAGTTCCGGTTGCTGCTGGATGGGGATGCTGAAGGAATGGACAGCCCTGTTCCAGGAGGCTGTGGCCCTGAACTTCCACTCTCAAGGAACCCAAAGAAAAGCGCTAGGAGACGCACCATCTCTCTACGAGCTCCCACAGCAGAGCTCAAAGCTGTGTGGCAGAACCTTATTCAAAGGCAGATGTAAGCAATTCACTCCTCTTCCAGGTTCCTGGTGTCAACATTACATCAGAAGTTCTTCTTCTATGGCTCTCCGGTCCGTATTCGGTCCATGGCATCCTCAATTCTCCTCTTCCATTCGGTCCTCTGTTAGGTCCGTCTGTCCGGGGCTTTGATCGAGGTTTCGAAACATTTTCCTTTTTACGGTGCAAGGTTGTTAGCCTTGTGATCAACCCCCAACCTGGAGGACCAGGGTACCTGTCTTAGTCTGACCTCTCCTCCTCGACCAATCTGGCTAGGGAGGCCCTACCAGTAGCTATGCTACCACCAGCATAGCTCTTGGGGTCACTGAGGTACTCAAGCCCCACCACCACGAAAAGATACAGGTACCATTAAGTGGGGTACATCAGAAGTTATTTACAAATAAAAAGTGGTCCCAGCCATTCTTGATATTTAAGTAGCGCCTAGTGGACATACTCAAATACCTGCACATTTCATTAATTTTACATTTTCAATTACTTATTTTGAGAGCTACATTTATAAACTGGCTGCAGATGTTAATATGGTAAAACACATGATTACAGGTGCCAGCCAAGCTGTAAGTTGGTATCAAACTTTGTGTCATTTCCAGTATTTCATCTAATGAATTTATACAAATGTTAACATAATTATTGCAAGTGTGAAAGAAGTTAAGGATTTGTCTACTTATGTGCCCAGATGGCTGGAGACTGGATTTAATCCTATATGACTTCAAGTGGCACTGGAGCAGGGTTTTCTACAAGTTCTTCACTTTTACTCTGCCAGTCATCATTCCATCATTAATTGTTCCACACTCATCTATCAACACCCCTACTTGGTGTGCAATAGCCCTGACCAAGCAGCAGTACGTTAACACACGTTTCATCTTTAACCTGCCACTTGGCTGGTTAAAGTAAAGTAAAGTTTGTCCCGCTACGTGCTGTGCAGGCGCTTGGGGTGAGTGGAGGTATAGCTCCTCTCTTTCTTGACCTCGGCACTAGATGGGGTGAGTGGTCAGCATTACGCCCCGGCCGGCTTTACCCCCTGGAAAGGACCCCGGTACCCATTGTAGAGGAGGCTGGGTGGGCCCCAGAGCAGGTCTGGACGCAGAGGCTAGAGGAAAAATCCTCTGCCCCCATCAGGGATCGAACCCCGGTCGTCCAGCCGACTGAACTATCCCAGCTCATGCCACTTGGCTGGTTATTTTATTTAGTGTTCTGTCTGACGACAGGTCCATATGAACAGGATCCTTCCATCCTTTTCTCGGACTGGGACCTGTTCATATACGTTCTTGGCAGATGATCCAGAAGTGGTTTGCCATTGCCTGCTTCTGTGTGTGAATGGAGTAATTGTTGGGATGCCACGGAGAAACCGGGGAAGCCCCCGGAGGAAAACTCCGGGTTGCCTAGACCACGGCCTTGCCCAACAAAAGTTATAAATTCGGGCACCGCCAGGAATCGAACCCGAGATTTATTTAGTTTTCTGTCTGAGGACAGGTCCATATGACCAGGATCCTTCCATCCTTTTCTCGGACTGGGACCTGTTCATATATGTTCTTGGCAGATGATCCAGAAGTGGTTTGCCATTGCCTTCTTCTGTGTGTGAATGGAGTAATTGTTGGGATGCCACGGAGGAAAACTCCGTGTTGCCTAGACCACAGCCTTGCCCAACACAAGTTATAAATTCAGGCACCGCCGGGAATCGAACCCGAGACCCCAGGATTACAAGGCCAGCGTTCTAACCTATGTGAGCAAGCCTAAAATGGGGTAAACCAACCAAAATATGAAGCTAACCACTCACCTCCAACAACAACATTCAAACACATGCACCTCCATGAAATGTTTTTACTTGTAACTGTTTCAGAATCTACCTGAACACAACGAGAGGTGGCACCCCAGCCAGTAGCCCTTTGGACTCACCCGATCCGCCCACAACGCTCTCTGTTGCGACGTTGGATTCATTCCCTCTGCGTCGCCAGGTGCGTCCACTGCTGAAGGAACCAGCTCCCACCCCTCCATGCCCCAGCCCGTCACCCCCGCGCACTCTTACCCCCTATTCGAGCCCTAAGAGGTCATCATCTCAGTAACAGCATCACAATCAGGGTGAGCAAATGTGTCCGCTAATGTACTCAGTTTTTATGACATAATGATATAGAAACTCTTCAGGAACTTTCAAGTCTGAACAGTGACGAAGGTTTGCGGACATGGTCGGAGTTCCTAGGAGTATATAATACAGTACACACTAAGGAGAGTAAATTTCTTTTAATTCTTGTAGTTCAATGTTGCATTCATTTTCCAGAAGAATAATGAAGACAATAAATATCTTCTTCTATGGCTCTCCGGTCCATATTCGGTCCGTGGCCTCCTCAATTCTCCTCTTCCACTCGGTCCTCTGTTAGGTTTGTCTGTCCGTGGCTTTGATTGAGGTTTCGAAACATCTTCCTTTTTACGGTGCAAGGTTGTTAGCCTTGCGACCAACCCCCAACCTGGAGGGACGATAAGTATACCGTAACTAAAATGTTTTGGAATTGTATTAATTTCGGGACAGGGGTTAAAATAATTAAAGATATTTCTGAACATGTAATATAATGGGATTCTGTTAAGTCTTTTGTTATGGGGTTTTCTAAAATGCAAATAAAATTAAGTGGCTTTATGAAGAGACACATTTGTAAGTTAACTGTAGAAACTATTTAGCATTTAGCTGTGATATGCTGAAATAAATCGGCTATTAATTTGTAAATGCATTATAACAGGAATCCTTTGGAAGCTCCCATAAAAAAAAGGAAATTTATTATTACAGTTAGCAGAACAGACAAAATAATGTCATAAAATTCTGTGGAATAAAAACATTTGTTTTCCTTCTGATTTATTCTACAAGTACAAGGAATGGTCATCATTTCAATTTGTTCTCCAATTAACCATTTTTTAGATATTATTTGTGATGAAAAGGAAAGAATCGTTTTTCTGTATTCATTACAAAGTGGACGTCTGTCTAATATAAACACAAATTAACTTCAAATGCTTTTTTCCAGTATTTTGCAACTCATTTAATTTTAGAAAGTGTTACAATTACATATTTACAATGCAGTTTAACACAAAAATTAAAATACCTCAACTTAAAATGTCATTAATTAACGCAGTAGCCCTAAATATGAATTTAAAATTTATTGGATTTGTATGTGGTACATTCCTCACAATTTCAACTAAATGTAAGTAATTTCATGTATGTGTTGGAATACCAAACCAGAAACAAAGCAACTTCATTTTAGTAATTTCTTTAACTATGAACTACCACATTCTTCATTTTCTGAATAAACACATTGCAATTACATGTACAAAATAATTCTCCAAAGATAGACTTGTTTGGGGTCCTTAGCAATCAACTTCAACAGAAACATTAAGAGATACTATATTTATAATTACTTTTAGTTAATAGTTACAACCACCACGGTGGTCTAGCAGTTAGACCTTGTAGTCCTGGGTTCAATTCCCGGCGGTGCCCGAATTTATAACTGGTGTTGAGCAAGGCCGTGGTCTAGGCAACACGGAGTTTTCCTCCGGGGGCTCCCCGGTTTCTCCGTGGCATCCCAACAATTACTCCATACACAGAAGAAGGCAATAGCAAACCACTTCTGTATGACCTGCCTAAGAAACATATATGAACAGGTCCCAGTCCGAGAAAAGGATGGAAGGATATATGTCGCCAGCCTCCTGTAAAGGAGACGGCGTAATAAAGAAGAACAGTTACAATGTATTTTTATCAATTATCCTGTTCAAAAGTAAGGCTATAGGCAGGTTTGGGGTTTATCGAATCTTTGATTTGAAAAATCAATCATTGTACACTTTGTTATCTGGGCCGATTGTTGGAGACTAAGGCACTTATAGTGTGAGATGAGTTTTCTCCGTCCCCTGTTCATAAGAAGTTAGTATGGTGTTTTTCGACCATTGTTCTACTGCAGTTTCCACATCATCATCAGTTTCGTCTCTCAGATGTTGCCTTACTGCTGGAAAATAGATGAAGTAGCAGTTTGGTGATCACATATTGAAAGATAAAAATGTTTAATGGTAGTGATGGGCTGTATCCTTACATATTTGCTCATCCCAGTTGTAAATTGCACCTCAGCCACAAATCTTATGTGGAGAGATATGAATTATGCTTCATAGAATATAGTGCATTTGTATAATGTGTCCAGCCATGAAACTAATTCAGTTTCATGGCAAAATCAAAGGCCTAATTTTATGATAACATAATTTTCCATATGTCTTTATGAATTCGTTTTTAAGAGATTTCATGTTAGTCATATATGATTTAATATAGATAGTGTAAACTTCATTTAATGTTAGTTATATTCACTAAAATTTTTGTCTATAATTAAATTTTGTGTCATTGCATGTAGTGTTAAAATTCCTATCTGAAATTAGCATTTTACAAATAATATAGGCTTGTACTTATATTTATATTACATGCTTTTGTACTGGGTAAGTCATTTTACTCTAATTTTGGTCTGCAGTAACATTACAGTATAACAAAAATCCTACATCAAACTTTTACTAAGGAGCAGAGTCATTCCTGAGACATTTATAGTATGCTCAGCTAGTCAAGAAATTCCTCACCGTCTTGGAACCCAAAGGTTCATTACCATATTCACAAGAGCTCACCGTGCCACAAGTCCCTGTCCTCGGCTATATCATATTATACTTTCTGCTAAAAGTGCTTAACTTGAGCTTGAATCCATTAAGGCTGGGGCCACACGACCATACAAAATATGTCCATTGTAACGCACATCATGACGTCACGATGTGCATTACAACGGACGTACTTTGTACGGTCGTGTGGCCCCAGCCTTAGTCTTGCAATTTCAGATATGTTCATTATTAAACTAAATTATGTTTGTCATATTTGGTGGTCAGACTAATCAGAAGTACCAGAGATTCAGTTGGGGAAGGCTATAAGTTGTGATCCATTGCATATTATATAAATTAGAATTTTACATGCTTAGTATTAATAAGAATACAATTTGGAATAGTCTGTAGGTCAATATGAAGTTCAAATAAGCAATTGAAACTGTAAAAGACTAAAACTTGTGATATAATTTTTGCTGAACACTTAGTTGAGGGGCCAAATACAAACTTTTTCTATTCTTCGTGATTCGGGAGATTCTATGGGCACTGTAAGTTTGTTGCCTTTTCTTCCAATGTGACATCATAGACAGCAGGGTCATTGAAAAATGAGTGGTATTATTTTAATATGTGGTAAATAGTTGTGACATTTATGTCATTCAAGAGCTTGATTACAGACAAAATATAAACATAAGGTTATTAAATTAACATATTTATAAAATTTAAATCTCACTTTTCAAATTAGACTTGTATTCATATGTCTTGCTTCATGTATAATTGATTCCTTGATCTAAACCCGATAATACTGAAGCAATAATATTAAGTTCTAATATTACTGGTGAGAACAGTGTAATTAAGACCTAATCTTTTCTCATTACAACTGAAATACTAGTGAAACAATAATTACAGATTATTGCAATCATTACATTTTTACTTTTTTTATAAAATCAACATCAGTCTACTTGACTGAAAATATGAAATTGCTCCGTGACTGTTTTAATGTCAGTTGTCACATTTTTGTAAAATAATAATAACATTATTTATAACGTTTTACAATGTATCTCATACTGATTCTTATAATAAATCGTAATTCTTACATCAAATTATAAATAGAGTCATCTCTGCAATTACTTATGTTTCGTTAACACGAATTTACTCCAATGAGATTGATGAATCGGTAAAAGCTGTTTGTGAAATACAAACTTTTTTATATGCGAGTTTGCTCTTACTGGCAGGCCTAAGTCCCATTTCGTAGATTTAAAAGAACTTTACGAGCATGATACGAGATGTTTCGTAAGCAAAATTCAGCAGCCATTTCTCACCCAAGTCTCCTGATTAACTGCTAGATGGCTCTGGCAGTCATATTGGGATTGAGTAGAAATTGTGCAGAGTCAGTGGACTGGTCACTCACTACTCACAAATTTACACTTCAAGACCAAGAAACCTCCGAAGAAGGAGGCGGTGAAAACCCATGACCAGGTTGTTGAGCCAAGAAACAACAACAACTGGCAGGCCTAAATTGTATCAGCTGTTATTATTTAATTATAACATTATTCAATATTCTTTCAACTTTCTTGCACAATATAAAACAGTGGAATAATTACAGCAAGAGACTAGCTGAACCAAAAGTATTGTCATTGTATTGTTACAAAATATACTATTTTTTAATTAGTTCTTTTTAGTCATACTGCCTTTTCTATGTAAGTATGATTGACAACTTTCATATTCTTACCCATTACAATATATAAACATATTGTATGTTTCTAAGAATGCAACCTACTATCGAGGAAGAACGTAATATAATCCATGTATTCAACATTCAAATGAGAATTGAATTATTATGTCTTTTGATTAATTTAATTTATTTCATTACTTATTATGCTTTGTGATATGCAGTTATTTATTAATAATATTTTGAAATACCTGTTTTATATATATATACACTGTCATTATAATCATACTATAATGCACAAGAAGTACAGTGTGTATATTCATGTTATTGATAATATGTAAGAGTGTCAATATTACCATATGCAAGAAAGATGGGAAAATTTTGTTTCCAAAAAATGAATGTTGTTATTCTATCTAGATAATCTCATCTTTTACACATACAATTAACTTTATTAATCAAGTGTTATCTTAAGTCACAAATATTGAATCAGCATATTTTCATGTATCATGTTTTATGTATTGTAATTTTAGTAGGAGAATGAGAACAACACAGTAAATTGATTCCCTGGACATACAGTTACAAAATATGGGCTTCATATTGCTTCCAGTCCTAAAGAAATTGTACCACATATTCACAACGCTCATTAATCAAGGAGTTCAAATTTTATATTCTTGTATGGGCATCAAA